GCAAATACTTCTGTATTAGCATATATGGATGATACATTATGGTTAGCAGAATCTCAACAGCAACTACAAAATATTATTAATATAGCATCTACATTTTATCAAATAACAAACATTAAAGTAAATTCTCAAAAATTTAGTCTAATATCTAATATAAAACATACATCTACTTTTACTTCCTAAACTTAACTATTGCAACTCAATCACTCAACACACTTTTAAAATTTCTTAGTTGCTAGTATATTGCAACTAACAAACAAGCCATCATAATCAAACTTATTCTACAAAAAACATTTGGTTTAACAAATATTGTTTAAACCAAACAAATAACAAACAAACAAGTTTCCTATATAATCAATAATGTCATTATTTCTATTATCAAATATTGTATATATAATATAGTATTTTCTCAACACATATATGCCAAAATTTTATTCAGATATCTTACTACTGCCAAACACAAATCCAAACTTGCACTAACTACTTCAACTAGCACTATGCTGAACCATAATATATATAAAATCAAAAACATATGGAATATCCAGTTACAACATTACATTACCAACTTCTTAATTCAACTAAACATAACAGATTTACTTGAAACTAGCACACATATCTAATTACAACAATTACAAAATAACCTATGGTCTACCACTAATATCTTACAACATTCACATCTACTAATAGATGGTTCAAATAAAAATACAACATTTGGGTTGATAAAAATTAACAGATCGAAAAAATAGCTAAGCAGGAATACAATCGAGTCATATTCCTGTATGCAGCTATTAATCACAATTAAGTATAAAGAAAAGAAGAAGAATGTGAACAGGCACATGAAGTCAAATAAGTATAATTAAAGTTTTAATTAGTTGCCATATTAGGTTATTTATAGAATTGCAAAGAATAGTCTTTGTTGCAGAACCAAATATACGAAGGTGCATGATTGACAATTGGCACTATTCATCAAAAGGAACCAGAAATTTGCAATAAGCAGACAGAAATCAAGAAACACAGCCAAGAGCAAAAATGAAAACACAACATCTGAAGACTCGACAGAGACTATTACTGCTTTAAAAAGCCAAGAAATTCAAGAACCTGTTATAGATATTGAGATGTGAATGAAATCATAAATAGATGCAACAATGCAATCAACAACAGCATCAATAATGTGAAATCTGCAACAATATATAGACCAACAGACAGCAGCATAACAAGAATGGAACACACAGCTTATGAAGACAATCAATTAGAAGTTCATGCAATTGGGACAAACTTATTTAAACAGCAATAGTCAGAAAATATTAGCTGAACACCTTTTAAGAACACCCCAGCATCCTATAAACTAACAAAACAATTAACAAAACATTTCAGAAACAGAGAATAGCAGAGACACAGCATAAGGTAATTATCCCATGACACCTATAACTAATAATTTGATATTACAAGCAAGCTTAGAACACCAGGATGGTGAGACAACTGACAGTATCACAACAGCAAATTATAAGTTAACTAGTAGGAAGTTCCCATCACTAACCTATCTATTTAGAGAAAAAAGATTTATGATCCAAGGTTTTAATAACCAGAAAGCTATAAAGACTGAACAAATCTGATTATAATAGATTGTAAATTGGTCAGAAGGACAAAAAAGGATAGAAATACTTCCTCAAAAACCAAATCTGCCCAATAAATTATAGAAGACAATAGCTTTTGGTCTATTTATTAATCTTTAAGAATTTGTACATAAGAACCTTGTTAATAATATCAAGCAGATGAATGAAAATACAGTATTACAAACATCAGAAGAAGGGCTTTTAAATATCAAGAAGCAAAAACAAAATTTTGCCTTTAAAAACATATCAGAATGGCTCCTAGCATTCAAAGCATACATGGATGAAGTTCTTATAATTTATGATAACTGGGAGCAAGAATTGAACTCATATAAAGATCACATAAATGAATTATGTATCAGATACAAATTTTCAGCTATAATGGGATATAATGAGGACTGCAGAGTTGTATTGGTTATGAATCAGAACACAACATTAACAGACAGAGACATAGAGGCTGAAGGTAAAAATCTCAATACTACAGCTGTGAAAAGAATTAAAGAAGAATAGCAAAAGAGCAGCTGGGCCAATACTACATAACAAAATGGCAAAGAGATATGCCTTAACTGAAACAAAAAAATATGCCCTGAGGAGAAAACTTGTGGCAGGGTCCATACTTGCATTGTCTGTAAAAAATTAGATCAAAAAGAAAAGAATTGCTTTTGCAAACATCCAGAATTGAAAAAGGCTAATCAACTAGTGCATTAGCATCAAAGACATAATAACTAATAATAATAATAATAATAATAGTAAAAAACAAAAAAAAAAAAATACAATCTTTTCAAGTATAATAATATATTATAATGCAATTATAGGCAGACAGTGAGAATAAATAATAACTAATATCAATTTAAATCTGCCTTATTTTTTTTAATAGTGCATACTAATAGAAGACCAAAGCTTAAATATGCTGCATAATTTAAAAAATCAAAAGTGATCACAGCATGTACAGAACCTACCTTATAGTCAGTAAATCAAATTATCAACATGTGTCCACCAAAGAAAATACCATTATCATAAAAAGAAGCTGAAATATTGTTACAGCTTAATCCATCTTACAACTCCTATAAACAAATTAGCTTTTAATTACTTGACACAGAAGCACCAAAATTGACCATTTGTTCAATATTTAAGAACTGGTTTAGAACATGGTTTTAGGTTCAATTTTTCAGACAAGTGAGCAATAATGATCCAAGAAGACTTAAATTCTATAGAGATTGAGCCTTCAGCATTAACAAATTACATAAACAGCAAAATAGCTATAGGACAAATATGTGGGCCTTTTTCTATGAATAATCCATCATGTTCAACATTCCAAGTCAATCCATGTGAACTGGTAGAGAAAAAGAACACCAATCCTAAGATATTTTGGATAATATCACATTTTTCAGCACCACTTGGTACAAGTGTAAATGATGGTATTGATCACATTGAGTTTGCAACAAAATATAAAAATCTGAACCATGCTATAGGGTGAATAATAAAATATGGTCATGGTTGTTTGCTATCTAAGATCAATATTCAAGATGCATGCCACATTTTAACAGTACACTCAGTAGATCAAATATTGCAAGGACTTCAAAATGGAGGCAAGCTATATTTTAATAAAGCACTTGCATTTGAAAATTGGGCCTCAGAAGGAATATTTTGCTACTTTGCAGACATGATCATGTGGTTTGCAGTACAACAAGGAATAAAATTAGTTATACATTATATAGATGACTTCTTAATTATATCTAAATCAGGTGCACAACAAGAATTAGAACAATTTCTTTGTATTCTTAAAATATTAAATGTTCCATATAAGCAATCCAAACTAGAAGGCCCTGTACTGCCTTAATCTTTCTAGAAATTCACATCAATACCAAAACATTTTCAGCAGCCATCCCAAACTCAAAAAAGATAAAAATCATAGAAATGCTTAAAACATGAAAAAATAAAACATGGTGTTTCAGTAAAGAATTGCAATCATTAGTCAGCTCATTAATATGGCTTTGTCAAACTATGCCTTAAGACAGACCCTTTGTTTAGCGATTTATAAGTGCATTAAGCAGTAACAAGAAGTCTAAGTTTTATATAAGAATTACTAGCCTCATAAAGGTGGACATAGACTGGTGGCATAATATTCTTTCAAAATTGTCAAGTATGTATTTTATAGAAGATAGAACATGGCTGCAGCCTAATACACAGAACTTATATACTGATGCATCCAATCTGAATAGAGATGCAACTTATGGTCTTTATTTCACAGTTTTTAACTGGTTCCAAGCAGTAAACAGAACAGAACACAATATTCAGATATGTGAATTATTAACATGCCTAATAGCAATGCTAACCTTTGCACTATTATGGCTTAGAAAATGTTTAATTATATGAACAGACAACCAAGCAAATGCAGAGGCATTTTATTTTGGTTTCTGTCACACCTCAATTGTCAATAGCATAATAGTGAATATGTATATGGCACAAATTCATGGCAACTAATCAGTAAAGTTAAAACATATAGCTGGAAAAAATAATAAGAATGCTGACTTATTGTCACAGAATGGGCACAAACAATTTAGAATGCAAAACCCTTTAGCACAATACTTACATCTTGTAATTCCAAATAAGTATACTAACTTAATAACAACAATCTCATCAAATAAATTTATTGAAATAGAGGATACTAGAGCTCACAAGAACAGAAACCAAAGATTACAACAATTGCAAACACATTCAAACAAGGGATTTATATGCACACCACCATTGAATGTACAGGCAGTAGCAATTTTAGAAATACATACATCAAAATATAATACATACATAGCAATTATCAAGCAATATGAAAAATTGGCCAAGAAAAATGATTAGATAAATGAAGATAAGACAATTTGGCTTATATCAAAAGAAAATCTCACTAAATTTATTTCATACTTGCATTCAAAAGTTGCACCACCAACTATTATATCATACTTATCTGCATTAAACCATCATTATACTATGAATCATACAGACTAGAGTCAGATTTGTTGTGATCTGCTTATAAGACAACTATTGAAAATGATTGAGGATAATCATATATTTAAACCAATACAGCAAAAAAAACACATTACACAAGACCAGCTATAATATATAAGAACAAAGTTGGACTTGAATGACTCAAACAGTATGCTGTTTTGAACAATGGCACTGGTGGCATTTTACAGTCTAGCTCAGCTAGGAGAACTACTTCCAAGGTTACAACAGGATGTAACAAAAATACCCAAATTACAGGCTTTAAAATTTGAGAAATCAGATGCAAATATATTTGCAACAATTCAGCTGCCAAGAACAAAGAATCACAAAATTGTAGAACATCCAATTTTAATTATTAACCAAACCAAAGATAACTTGTGTTCAATTCATACACTAAAATTATATATTATTCTCAGAACCAAACCAACATATGCTCCAAGGAGTAAGGCATTATTTATTAAGGCAAACAAAAACTTAGCTATGAAAGTCTGGTACATCAATAGCCTGAAGTCCCTGTTACCTGATGCATATGTTGCAAGTTACAGCTTTTGTGCTAGGGGCACAACAGAATTAGTATTGCATGGCATGCAGCTATCACTAATTTAAAGAATAGGCAGATGGTCATCTGATGCATTCTTTAAGTACATCCAAACACATCTCACAACTGTGGCTGCTATTTTAAGTAAGGCCTATTCTGACTGATGATCATTATGTAAAAATTTGGAACCTGATCATCATCAGAATTATACAAGAAAAAAAAAAAAAAAAAGGAAAGTTAAAATGATATTTAGCTTAGCCAAGTATATCTAATAAAATCATCAAACCAGAAACATGACAAGTTCAGTTAACACACAATAGACAGAGATTGCATATTATGCAAGTACTATAAGCATAATAATAAGAATAAGTAAACAAAGAAATTGTATATAAATGGGTTAAATTACAAAATAACTGTATTCTTACAAGATTGGAATGCATAAAATCCTGCCATTCTGTGGCAACTTAAAAATTTCATGTCAAAGCTGGCCTGCTTCATGCAGTATGGGAGACCACTAGCTGATGCCACACATCATGAATTCAGCTGATAATGGTGATACCTGGTACAATTGTAATTGCTATTTTTAAGAGTATATCTCATTCCAGTTTATATGTCAATTGCACTGATGTACATTGCATATTCTTAATAAAAATTATTCAATAAAGTTTAATATCTAGTATAATTAGCTAGATGCTTCCAATTAAGGTTATAACATGTGTGCAATGCTTTTTGTTCAGGTTGATGAAAATTAACAGATCAAAAAGATGTTAAGCAGAGATACAACCCAGTCATATTTCTGTATGCAGCCATTAATTCTAATTAAGCATAAAGAAAAGAAGAAGTGTGTGAATGGGCATATGAAGTCAGATAAGTATAATTAAAGTTTTAATTAGTTGCCAAATTAGGTTATTTATAGAATTACTAAAAATAGTCTTTGTTGCAGGACCAAATTTAAGAAGGTGCATAATTGACAATTGGCACTATCTATCAAAAAGAACCAGAAATTCACTTCTAAACCTCTTTTACCTGTATAGAATCCTGCCATTCTGTGGCAACTTAAAAATTTCAAATCAAAGCTGGCCTGTTTCATGCAGTGTGAAAGACCACTGGCTGATGCCATGCATCATGAATTCAGCTGATAATGGTGATACCTAGCACAATTGTAATTGCTATTTCTGAAAGTATATCCCATCTCAGTTTATATGTCAATTGCACTGATGTACACTGCATATTCTTAATAAAAATTATTCAATAAAGTTTAATATCTAGTATAATTAGCTAGATGTTTCCAATTAAGGTTATAACATGTGTACAATGCTTTTTGATATATCAAATAATACTGCTACTATAACATCTACAATTTACTATCTCTGCACACATAACACTATCACATATACTACAATATCTATATACACCAATTAAAAACATTTTTAAAATATATTAAGACTACAATAACTTCAAAAAACAATTATAAACTAAACATATTCTTTATCTTGAACAATTAACCTCATCTGATAACTTTATACTTTTAGATTGAAAACATATTTTACCAAGACTTGAACAAATTTCTACAGGATGTAAACAAAATGGTTTACAATATTAGAAAACAAAATCATTATACATTCTCTTACTAAAAAACTTAACTTTAATCTGAGTCTTTTACAAACTAACTTCTTATCTTTTACAATTAGACATTACAATTCAAAATCAAAATCTTGGCTCATTACTGTTGATTACAATAATGAACAATTAATAATAGAAAAGGCATGCAAATATAACCAAAACAACAACACTATATCTATTATACACTAAACAATTGAAGCAAATACACCTAACACAAACCTCTATCCACTCTTATTAGTCAATTGTATACTATGCACAGGATGTTCACATAACTCTAACAGAATACTAAACTATTGTACATTTCTGCTACTTTTTTTACAAAATTTTTAGGAAGAAAACAACAAAATCCTAC